GCTTAGCACCCCCAGTCGTAGCACCCCCTAGGCTCAGCACCCCCAGGCTCAGCACCCACTCGCTGCAGCACCCCCTCAGAGTCAGCCCCCCAGGCTCAGCACCCGCAGCAGTACCAGAGTCACCAGCAAAAACCTCGACCGGCTCGACTGCGTCTACCTGGGACACACCTGAAGGGGCAGGACCCTGAGGGGGGAGGGGGTCTACCTGGGGGGGACCTTGCACAAGAAGTGCGGCGGTGGGGGGAGGGAAGGAGTGCGGTAGGGGAAGAGACGGTAGTAGGGGACCGCTCGTCAACCGTGACGTCCTGGGAGGACAGAACACGACGAGAGGAGGGGTGGTAGAACTGACTGCCACCCTGGGTGCGTCACGGGGGAAGCCAAGGAAGACACAAGGAGCAGCACGAGGGGACAGCTTGTCCGCAGAGAAGTCGCGGACAAACGACCGAGATCCCCAGGACACCGGAACGCAGACGCATCGCCTACCTTCCCGGTCCACAGCAGAGCTGGGGAGGTCTCCGGCATGGGAGACCCTGGGGTGAAGGTTGATCTGATTGCGCCGCGTACCGAACCGCAAAAACGGCCAAGAAAATGGGGGGCAGCCGCATGCATCATGGACGTACGAGCGACGTCCATGACCATGCCCAATGCGGCGCTCAGCAATTCAATTTTGCTGTGGAGAGTCCGGAAGCGTAAAGGTCTGGCGGAGTGCCTCGCGCACGGCAGTAGGCTCGCAGAAGGCCAGAGGAGAACTCTCCGCTCCGGTCAGAGTGCAGACTTAGAACCAGGAAAGTCCGAGCCGAAGCTCCTCCTGAGCTGGAGACGAGCTGCAGCGGATCCAGTCGATCAAACACCTCAGTGACATCACCCCTTGCTGCGCAAGGGGAAGACTGAGGTGTAACGCGAGTAGTCGTCAACCACCAGCAGGAAGTAGCGCTCGTGACCCTGTCCACGGACGCGGGCCGGCCCCACACGTCCATGTGAAGCGTCTGCAGCGGGGCCTCTGTCGGGGGAAACTGAGAGGATGAGGGGCAGCCGGAGCCGCCCCTCGACACAGGGAACACAGAAGGACCAGGCCCTGGAGGAGGGGAGGGAGGGACCGGGGGAGACCAGAGACAAGGACACGGGAAGCCATGCCTCGAGAGACGAGCAGGGAGGGTGGGTGTCCTATTTATATGACATAGCTGTTGTAGGGCTATAGTGGGTAGCACATATGGGGTAGAGGATTCTAGGGTTGTATTTGTACCCAAATTTCACTTAGTCATTTCATTCTCGTTCACATCTTCTCATGGTATCGAGCAGGTTCCCCGTGGAACTGTGCCTAGGGCCCACCACATCGACTTTTTTTTTCCTGCCCGAAAGCGCGCTCCGCCCGAGTCCCACTTCGGGCTCTCATCTCGTCGAGCCGCCCTAACGGCCCCTAACGCCCTAGCGGCCCTTTCCCCTAGCGCCCCCCGCCCGTCGCGCTTCGGCCCCGTCGCCCTGTCTTGCGGCCCCGCCGCCCGTCTTCGCAGCCCCGCCAGGCGTCGCTGCGGCCCCCGCCCCTATCGGGGCCCCTCCGCCCTACCTCGCGCCACCGCGCTGCCCTACCTCGCGGCCTCGCCGCCCTACCTTGCGGCCCCGCCGCCGCCCTACCTTCGGGCGCCCCGCCGCCCTACCTCGCGGCCCCGCCGCCCTACCTCGCGGCCCCGCCGCCCTACCTACCGCGGCCCCGCCGCCCTACCTCGCGGCCCCGCCGCCCTGCTCAGCGGCCCCACGCCCTTCTGCAGCGGCCCCGCCACCCTTCTACTACGGGCCCCGCCGCCCCAATCAGCGGCTCCGCCGCCCTACTCCTGCGGCTCCCGCCGCCCTACTCCTGCGGCCCCCGCCCGCCTACTCAGCGGCCACTCCGCCCTTTTGCAGCGGCCCCGCCGCCGCTCTTCGCAGCGGCCCCGCCGCCCTTCTGCATGCGGCCCCGCCGCCCTCATCTGCGGCTTCCCCCCCGCCTACTTTTGCGGCCCCGCCGCCCTAATCATCGGCCCCGCCACCGTTCACCAGTGGCCCTGCCGCCCTACACCGCCCGTGCCACCCGAGCTGCCCGAGCAGCCCGAGCTGGCCGAGCCGCCCGAGCCGCCGAGCCGCCCGAGCCGCCCGAGCCGCCCGAGCCGCCTGATCTGCCGAGTCGCCGTGCTGCGGAGCCGCAGTCGCTACTTGAGCCGTCCGAGCAGCCGTGTTGCCGTGTTACTGCACTACTGAGCTGCCCGAATCGCCCTCTTGCGGTGAGAACAGCGCTTCTGTCACTGCACTGCACCTGTCCTACAGTTGGTCTTGCTAGTCTACTGCTGTCATGGCTACCCCTAGTGTTCTCGCTTTTGACGCTGAGGGTCGAGCCATTGACTTGAGGTTTGGGTAGATGACCTGCAGCTCTTCTTACAGTGCGATAAGGCAAACGGTCTCTCCCTCTTTGACCTCACCTCTGGCGCCTCTCCTGCCCCTGCTGCTGATGCTGACACCCACTGTTCGCTCCCAGTGGGCCACGCGCGATGCTGCTGCACGTCTTGCTGTGCGTCGCCACCCTGCCTACCACTAAGCGCGCGCACTTTAGTCAGTACAAGAGTGCTCAGACCTTGTACGACGCTGTAGTTGCGCGCTACTCTTCCCCCTGCCACTGCTGCACTGAGCCGCCTCATGCTACCGTACCTCTTCCCTGACCTTGCTGCCTTTACCACAGTCGCTGACCTCATTACGCACCTCCGCACTAGTGACACTCGCTACCGCGCCGCGCTTCCTGCTGAGTTCTGCGCCAAGAACCCCCCCCTCCATGTACATCACTCTCTATTATATAGTCACCCACCTGCCTGACTCCCTTCGCGTAGTGAGGGACCACTTGCTCTGAGTCTGTCCCACCACTCTCACTGTTGACCTCCTAGAGAAGGCCCTCCTAGCAGCGGAGAAGAGCATAGTCCTCTGTAGGAGCCTCTCGTGGTGACCCCTCGCACCCCCATCTTTGAGGGGTGTTCCCCTTCCCCCCTTTTGCCCTCTGTCGCCTCTGCTGCTGCGGCCGACCTCGTTGGTCTTGAGTCGGTCGGCGCGGCGTCTGCCCCTAGCGGGAGACGCCGGCCCTGGCAAGGGCAAGGGGAGCAAGGGCGCGGGTGGAGCTAGCGGGGGTGGTGGAGGTGGCGGTGGAGGCGGCGGAGGGAGTGGGGGTGGCGGTGGTAGTGGTGGCGGGGGTGGGAGGTGGTGGTGGTAGCAGCGGAGGCGGAGGCGGCGGAGGCGGTAGCGGTGGGAGCGGAGGTGGCGGTGGTGGCGGAGGTGTAGGACGGCGGTGGCGGAGGAGGTGGAGCTGGTCGGGGTTGGTGCTTCGCAGCGGAGCGGCTTCTGGTGGTGGTCAGCGCCAGCAGCAGCAGCAGCAGCAGCAGCAGCAGCGTTCTCGAGACATCCCCTCTCCTCAGCAGCTCCGTGAGTGGTACACGCAGCGTCAGCGTGGTGGGGGTTTTGGTCAGTGCACCTACGTCCTTCGCTCCGGCGACCGCGCGGGTGAGCAGTGTGGGGACGCTTGGCGTCAGCAGTTCCCGGAGGCTAGTGAGATCCCCCGCTGGGGAGAGCTGTCTAGGGCAGGTGTAGCTATCTATGATCTTGAATTTGATGCTATCCTTGCTGCCATGTATGCTGTGACTATTAGTGATGAGGGTGAATGTTTCCGGTGTTTCCCGCCCGAGCCCGGGCATTGGTACTTAGCTGCGCTAGGTGCTGGTGAGGCTGCTGCTCTAGGTGCCAGCGCGTCTGCGCCCTCAGGTACTGGTGAGGCTGCGCTCCTCAGGTACCGCGTCGGCTTCGGCCTCCCTCACCTTCACTCTTGACTCGGGGGCTTCTTGCTCCTTCTTTCGAGACCGCACCACACTCACGCCGCTTGGTCGGCCGGTTTGCAGTCTCCTTGGCAGACCCCTCTGGGGGTCCTGTCCTCTCTCACTTCTCTACTGTCCTCCCGTGTCCGGCTGCCCCTCTTGCACCTTGTCTGGTCTTTACCTCCCTCGTTCTCGACTCACTTGGTGAGTGGTGCTGACCTGCAGGATGCGGGGGTTCACCAGTTTACTCCTGCGAGTCAGCGGGTGACCCACTGCTCGAACGCACGCCACGGGCCGACACCTGGCCACGTTTTCACGTCGGCCGGGGTCGAGCCTCTACACCCTGACCACTGGGTCCTCTCCTGTCCCTGCGTCTGGCCAGGTAGGTGCGCCGGGTCAGGTGTTTGCTGCAGCGTCCAGGTCTGGTCCTGAGTCTGCCCCCTGCTCGTGTCGCCTCCTGTCTCACGAGACTCTCCTCTGGCACCACCGTCTTGGTCACCCCTCCCTGCCTCGTCTTTGAGGCATGGCTTCCCGTGTCCTTGTCTTTGGTCTTCCCCAGTCCCTCCCTCCCCTTCCTCCGGGGCCTGGTCCTTCCTGTGTCCCCTGTGTCGAGGGGCGGCTCCGGGCTGCCCCTCACTCCTCTCAGTTTCCCCCGACAGAGGCCCCGCTGCAGACGCTTCACATGGACGTGTGGGGCCCCGGCCCACGTCCGCGGATAGGGTCACGAGCGCTACTTCCTGCTGGTGGTTGATGACTACTCGCGTTACACCACAGTCTTCCCCTTGCGCAGCAAGGGTGATGTCACTGAGGTGTTGATCGACTGGATCCGCGCAGCTTGTCTCCAGCTCAGGAGGAGCTTCGGCTCGGACTTTCCTGTTCCGCGTCTGCACTCTGACAGAGGCAGAGAGTTCTCCTCTGGCCTTCTGCGAGCCTACTGTCGTGCGCGAGGCATCCGCCAGACCTTTACGCTTCCGGACTCTCCACAGCAAAATGGGATTGCTGAGCGCACGCATTGGCATGGTCATGGACGTCGCTCGTACGTCCATGGTGCATGCGGCTGCCCCCCATTTTCTGTGGCCGTTTGCGGTTCGGTACGCGGCGCATCATATCAACCTTCATCCCAGGGTCCTCCATGCCGGAGACCTCCCCAGCCTTGCTGTGGACGGGGAAGGTCGGCGATGCGTCTGCGTTCCGTGTCTGGGGATCTCGGGCGTTTGTCCGCGACTTGTCTGCGGACAAGCTGTCCCCTCGTGCTGCTCCCTGTGTCTTCCTTGGCTTCCCCCTGACGCACCAGGGTGGCAGTTCTACCACCCCCCCCTCTCGTCGTGTTCTGTCCTCCCAGGACGTCACGTTTGACGAGTCGGTCCCCTACTACCGTCTCTTCCCCTACCGCACTCCTTCCCTCCCCCCGCCGCCGCACTTCCTTGTGCAAGGTCCCCCCCAGGTAGATCCCCTCCCCCCTCAGGGTCCTGCCCCTTCAGGTGTGTCCCAAATAGACGCAGTCGAGCCGGTCGAGGTTGCTGGTGACTCTGGTACTGCTGTGGGTGCTGAGCATGGGGGTGCTGACTCTGGGGGTGCTGCGCGAGTGGGTGCTGAGCCTGGGGGTGCCGAGCCTGGGGGTGCTGCGACTTGGGGTGCTGAGCCTGGGGGTGCTACGACTGGAGCTGCTGAGCCTGAGGGTGTTGAGTCTTGAGCTGCTGAGCCTGGGGGTGCTGCGTCTGGAGCTGCGGAGCCTGGGAGTGCTGAGTCTGGAGCTGCTGAGCCTGGGGGTGCGGAGCCCGCGGCCGCTGGACCTGCTCGTGTGACGTCTGGCGGTGCTAGGCCTGGTGGTTCTCCGGGTGCTTCGTCTCGGCGGGAGCCACTCTCTCCACAGGAACTGCGCGAATGGTTTGCCCGGCGCTGTAGGCGTACTGGTGGAGCTGGTGCTTCTTCGGCTGCTAAGGGTGCTGGTGCCGCCGGTCTCGGAGGTGCTAGTCGTGGGAGTGCTGAAGCTGCTGGGCCTGCGAGTGCGACTGGAGTCTGCGCTGCTGAGGGTGTTGGCGCTGAGGCTACTGCTGTCAGTCCTGGCGGCGGTCCTGCTGCGGGTGCTGCTGGTGCTGCTGGAGGTCCTGGAGCTGGAGGTGCTGTTGGCGCTGGTGCTGCCGTTGGGGGTGCTGGTGCTGTCCCTGCTGTGTCTGGAGTCGCCGCGCGGCCTCGGCCGTACTTTGTTCCGCTCCTTCAGCAGGTTCATGGTCTTCCTCCTCCCTTAGAGTGTCCACCGCCTGTCCAGTCACAGTCACAGTTACCGCCGGCCTCCCCACTGCCTTCTCCTTCTCCTTACATTGGTCCTACTGGAGGTCTTGCTGAGCGTCGTGAGCCTGCGTCTCGTCCTGCGTCGCCTGTTCGTGCTGCTCGCGCTAGTGGTCGCGGTTCACGTCAGCGTCCTCCTCCTGTCCCTGGCATGCACCGGATGTCTTTGCGTCCGTCCACTGCTCCTCTGCGTGCCCCAATGCCTTCTCCTCCTGCGTCCTCTCTTCCTGAGCTTGCCGACCCGGAGTCGGACTCTCTTCGTGCTGCCAGTCCTACTGTCACGCGTCTCCTTGCTACTGTCGTCACTGACCCCTCCTTTGAGTCCACTACTGCGTCTGCTCTAGTTACTGAGCTCGTCGACTTTGCTGCTCGCTGTCGTCTAGACTACGCTGCTAGTCTTGTTTCTGAGTCTGCGTCTGTCTATCCTCCGTCCGTCGGGGGTGAGTGTGCTCTTGGCACAGACGTCCTTGAGGACAGGCAGGAGGAGTTCCAGTGTCTGGCTGCTGCTTCACCTCATCTCGCGTCCGTACTGCTTACCCCTGAGGGAGACCCGGATGCACTAGACATCCCGACTCCGCGCTCTTACGTGGAGGCCGTAGAGGGTCCCTACTCCTCTCAGTGGCATGCAGCTATGGATGCAGAGATGGCTTCCTGGAAGTCCACAGGCACCTACGTTGACGCGGTTCCCCCTCCTGGGGCGAACATCGTCAGTGGCATGTGGATCTTCAGGGTGAAGCGGCCGCCGGGCTCTCCGCCTCTCTTCAAGGCGCGGTACGTGGCTCGTGGCTTCAGTCAGCGGCAGGGAGTTGACTACTTTCAGACCTTCTCTCCCACCCCGAAGATGACCACTCTTCGGGTGCTGCTACACATAGCCGCTCAGCGTGACTACGAGCTTCACTCTCTTGACTTCAGCACTGCTTTCCTGCAGGGTAGCCTGCACGAGGAGATCTGGCTGCGCCGTCCACCTTGCTTCACTGGGACTTTCCCTCCTGGCACCCAGTGGAGCCTCCGACGGCCTGTCTACGGTCTCCGCCAGGCACCACGCAAGTGGCACGACACACTGAGGACTACGCTTGCGGCTCTTGGGTTTGCTCCCTCTACTGCTGACCCGTCGTTGTTTCTGCGCACCGACACCTCTCTACCGCCGTTCTACATCCTCGTGTACGTCGACGACTTGGTCTTTGCCACAGCTGACACTGCTGGACTCGCCCACGTGAAGTCCGAGCTGCAGAAGAGACACACGTGCACAGACCTAGGTGAACTGCGCAGCTACCTTGGCTTGCAGATCACCCGGGACAGAGCACGCCGCACCATCACCTTGACTCAGTCACACATGGTGCAGCAGGTCCTTCAGCGCTTCGGCTTCACGTACTCCTTGCCTCAGGCCACTCCTCTGTCTACTCGCCACTCGCTCTCAGCTTTCCCTTCGGATGAGTCCGTAGAGTCGAGTGGCCCGTACCCAGAGCTTGTTGGCTGCCTCATGTACCTGATGACCTGCACACGACCTGACCTTGCATACCCTCTTAGCATTCTTGCTCGCTATGTTGCTCCTGGGAGACACAGACCGGAGCACATGGCTGCAGCGAAGAGGGTGTTGCGCTACTTGTGCAGTACGTCGGACATGGGGCTAGTGCTTGGAGGGCGCAGTCCAGTGGTCCTCACTGGGCACGCGGACGCTTCTTCGGCTGACGACCAGGCTACGCAGCGGTCGTCACAGGGTTACACCTTCAGTCTTGGTTCCGGCTCTGTTTCGTGGCGGGCTACTCGCTCGTCTTCTGTTCTCGGCTCGAGTTGTGAGGCTGAGATCTACGCCGGGGCCATGGCTGCACAGGAGCTTCGCTGGCTCACCTACCTGCTGACTGACCTCGGAGAGCCGCCTCGTTCTCCTCCGGTGCTGTACGAAGACAACAAGGCCATGCTGGCCTTGTGTCAAGAGCAGCGCCTGGAGCACAGAACGAAGCACATTGCTCTCCGATACTTTCTTGCTCGTGAGCTGCAGCAGCGTGGTCAGATGCGACTTGCGTACGTGGCCTCTGAGGCCAACACTGCTGATGTTTTCACCAAGGCACTTCCGCCTTGTGATCATCAGCGCTTCTGCACTCAGCTGGGCCTTGTGCCTGTCTTGCCTCACTTGCTCACCTCTTGACTTTGTTTGTACTATCACATATATATATATATACCTGGTCTTGCTTGTTTAGCCTCTTATATTTTATATATATGTGTGTGTGTGTGTGTACTCCTGCATGTGAACTGGCCTTGTGGCCTTGAACTTGTGCTCGGAATGTGTGGTGACTTTGTGATCCACCCTGAGCTTTGCTTTGCATTGCTTGACTGGTCTTGTGACCCCTTGTTCTCCCCCACTTTGCCTATGGGGGTGTGTCAGATTTATATGACATAGCTGTTGTAGGCTATAGTGGGGTAGCACATATGGGGTACAGGTTTCTAGGGTTGTATTTGTACCCAACTTTCACTTAGTCATTTCATTCTCGTTCACATCTTCATAGGGTGACCAAGACGGTGGTGCCACAGGAGAGTCTCGTGAGACAGGAGGCGACACGAGCAGGGGGCAGACTCAGGACCAGACCTGGACGCTGCAGCAAACACCTGACCCGACGCAGCTACCTGGCTAGACGCAGGGACAGGAGGAGACCCAGTGGTCAGGGTGTACAGGCTCGACCCCGGCCCACGCGTAAACGTGGCCAGGTGCCGGCCTGTGCGAGCGTCCGAGCAGTGGGTCACCCGCTGACTCGCAGGAGTAAACTGGTGAACCCCCGCATCCTGCAGGTCAGCACCACTCACCAAGTTCGTAGAGAACGAGGGGAGGTAAAGACCAGAGAAGGTGCCAGAGGGGGCAGCCGGACACGGGAGGACAGTGGAGAAGTGAGAGAGGACTGGACCCCCAGAGGGGTCTGCCAGAGAGACCGCAACCGGCCGACCAAGCGGCGTGAGTGTGGTGCGGTCTCGAAAGAAGGAGCGAGAAGCACCTGAGTCAAGTGTAAAGGTGAGGGAGGCCGAAGCCGACGTGGTACCTGAGAGCGTAGACTCACCAGCACCAGAGGGCGCAAACGCACTGGCACCTAGAGCAGCAGCCTCATTAGCACCTAGAGCAGCAGTACCAATGCCCGGGTCGGGCGGGAAACACCGGTAACAGTCACCCTCATCACAAATAGTCACAGCATACATGGCAGCAAGGATATCATCACAGTCAAGATCATAGATAGCTACGCCTGCCCTAGACAGCCCTCCCCAGCGGGGGATCTCACAGGCCTCCGGGAACTGCTGACGCCAAGCGTCCGTCAGGCGGCCAAAGCAGCGCTGGGTGGGGTGGGCACCCCCACACTGCTCACCCGCGCGGTCGCCGGTGCGAAGGACGTAGGTGCACAGACCAAAACCCCCACCACGTTGACGCTGCGTGTACCACTCACGGAGCTGCTGAGGGGGGGGGATGTCCCGAGAACGCTGCTGCTGCTGCTGCTGCTGGCGCTGACCACCACCAGGGCTGCTCCGCTGCGAAGCGCCACCTCGATCACCTCCACCACCGCCTCCTCCACCTCCGCCACCACCGCCGCCTCCGCTAGCACTGCCGCCGCCTCCTCCGCCTCCGCCTCCTCTGCTGCCAAGGACACCTCCACCCCCGCCACCACTCCCACCGCCACCCCCACTCCCTCCGCCGCCTCCACCGCCACCTCCACCGCCCCCGCTAGCTCCACCCGCGCCCTTGCCCCCCTTGCCCTTGCCAGAGCGGCGTCTCCCGCTAGGGGCAGACGCCGCACCGACCGACTCAAGACCAACGAGGTCGGTCGCAGCGGCAGAGGCGACAGAGGGCAAAAGGGGGGAAGGAGAACACCCCTCAAAGATGGGGGTGCGAGGGTCACCACGAGAGGCTCCTACAGTGACTATGCTCTTCTCCGCTGCTAGGAGGGCCTTCTCGAAGAGGTCGACAGTGAGAGTGGTGGGACAGACTGAGAGGAAGTGGTCCCTGACTACACGAAGGGAGTCAGGGAGGCGGGTGACTATATAATAGCGAGTGATGTTCACGGGGGGGGGGGGGGGTTCTTGGCGCAGAACTCAGCAGGAAGCGCGGCGCGGTAGCGAGTGTCAGTAGTGCGGAGGTGCGTAATGAGGTCAGCGACTGTGGTTAAGGCAGCAAGGTCAGGGAAGAGGTCCGGTAGCATGAGGCGGCTCAGTGCAGCAGTGGCAGGGGAAGAGTAGCGCGCAACTACAGCGTTGTACAAGGTCTGAGCACTCTTGTACTGACAAAAGTGCGCGCGCTCAGTGGTAGGCAGGTGGCGACGCACAGCAAGACGTGCAGCAGCATCGCGCGTGGCCCACTGGGAGCGAACAGTGGGGTCAGCAGCAGCAGCAGGGGCAGGAGAGGCGCCAGAGGTGAGGTCAAAGAGAGAGAGACCGTTTGCCCTATCGCACTGTAAGAACAGCTGCAGGTCGTCGACCCAGACCTCAAAGTCAATGGCTCGACCCTCAGCGTCAAAAGCGAGGAGACTAGGGGTAGCCATGACAACAGTAGACTAGCAGTACCAACTGTAGGACAGGGGCAGTGCAGTGACTGAAGCGCTGCTCTCACCAGACAGGGCGGTTCGGGCAGCTCAGCAGCACAGCAACACGGCTGCTCGAACGGCTCAGCAGCAACTGCGGCTCCGCGGCACCAGCGGCTCGGCTCCTCAGGTGGCTCGGGCGGCTCGGGCGGCTCGGGCGGCTCGGGCGGCTCGGGCGGCTCGGGCGGCTCGGCTCCTCAGCGGCTCAGGCGGCTTGGGCGGCTCGGGTGGGTGGGGCGGCTCGGGCGGCTCGGGCGGCTCGGGCGGCGCGGGCGGTGTAGGGCGGTAGGGCCGCTGGTAGGGCGGCGCGGCCGCAAAGTAGGTGGCGGGGCCGCAGAGGGAGGGGCGGCAGGGCCGTAGTGAAGGGCGGCGGGGCCGCCGTGAAGGGCGGCGGGGCCGCAATGAGAGAGGCGGCGGGGCCGTAGAGAAGGGCGGCGGGGCCGCTGAGAAGGGCGGCGGGGCCGCAGTGAGAGAGGCGGCGGGGCCGCAGCGAAGGGCGGCGTGGCCGCTGAGACGGGCGGCGGGGCCGCAGCGAAGGGCGGCGGGGGCCGCTGAGACGGGCGGCGGGGCCGCAGCAAAGGGCGGCGGGGCCGCTGAGACTAGCGGCGAGGCCTCAGTGTGAGGCGGCGGGGCCGCAGGGAAGGGCGGCGGGGCCGCAGCAAAGGGCGGCGGAGCCGCAAATGAGGGCGGCGAGGCCGCAGGTGAGGGCGGCGACGGGGCCGCAGCTGAGGGCGGCTTCGGGGCCGCAGGGGAGAGCGGCGACGGGCCGCAGGTGAGGGCGGCGACGGGGCCGCAGCTGAGGGCGGCGACGGGCCGCAGGTGAGAGCGGCGACGGGGCCGCAGCTGAGGGCGGCGACGGGCCGCAGGTGAGAGCGGCGACGGGGCCGCAGCTGAGGGCGGCGACGGGGCCGCAGGTGAGGGCGGCGGGGCCGCAATAGAGGGCGGCGGGGCCGCAAGTGAGGGCGGCGGGGCCGCAATTGAGGGCGGCGACGGGCCGCAGGTGAGGGCGGCGACGGGGCCGCAGGTGAGGGCGGCAACGGGGCCGCAACCTAGAGCGGCGACGGGCCGCAAGTGAGGGTGGCGGGGCCGCAACTGAGGGCGGCGGGGCCGCAAGGGAGGCCGCTAGGGCGGCTCGACGAATGCAGAGAGGGGAGCGCGACTCAAGGAGCGCGCTCCGGGCACGAAAAAAAAAATGATCGATGTGGTGGGCCCTAGGCACAGTTCCCTGGACGGAACCTGCTCTATACCATGTGAAATTTAGAACGAGAATGAATTGACTATGGGAAAGTTGGGTACAAATACAAACCCTAGAAAGCTGTACCCCATATGTGCTACCCCACTATAGCCTACAACAGCTATGTCATATAAATCTGACAGTTGTACCCCATATTGTCTACCCCACTAGAGCCTACACAAACTATAGCATATGAGTTTGACATGTTACGGGTGCAATTGAGTGATCGAACGAGAATTGCACTATCGAAGCAAGAGTAGAATGAGCAAAGGCATGAGCGAAGAATATATAGCGAAACTACAGTGGTAACGGTAATGAACTGTGATTGACACGCGACGGGCCTGGAACCGAGGTTGGGAAAATGTCGAGGTGGAGGCCCGGAGCGCGGGTTACCCGCCAAGCCATGAGGTCGGGGTGCGTTGTGCGAAGGTGGCGGGAGGATTTTTTATGCGAGGGTTGCGAGTGGTAACAGTGCTGACTGTGGTGCTACAGTGGTGTACGCGCGCGAAGTAAGGAAAATATTTTTTCCTTACACTACCCTCCCCCTAAGGAGGCCCTCCTTTACGAAAGTGCGTGTACATCCTGAAAATTTCGGCTGCGCAGATACTCGTTGAGGACGGGGTGGTTGTCGATTCTGTTCAGGGGAACCCAGTTGTCTTCGGTGGGTGTACGGTCTCTCCAGTGGATCAGGAATTCGATCCTTCGAGCTCCTCGTGGGTCACGAACTCGGTGGCTCAAAATCTTTTTGGGCGTGATGATTGGCTCGGTTGGCGGTCGTGTCATGCTGGTTGGGCGGTTGCGGGGCAGTTGGCCAGTGGATGGTACGTAGGGGCGGAGCAGGCTGACGTAGAAGGATGGGCTGGTGTACCAGTCAGCAGGGAGGAAGAGATGGGCGGTGACGGGTGTGATCATGTGGCTGATGCGGAATGGCCCACAATATCGAGGGCGGAGTTTTGGAGTAATGGGTAGGCGGAGGTTCTGGGTGTCGAGTAAGACTAGGTCGTCGGGCTGTTAAGTGACGGGTCGGCGGTGGCGGTCGGCGTTGCGTTTAGCAATGATGTTTGACTTTTTAATTGCGTCTGCTACCCGGGTCCGTGCTGCTTGTAAAATTTCGGCGAACTGTTGCGCTCGTGGCACTTGGTTGTTGGGATTTGGGGTCATGGGTACTGCTGGGTGTTGTCCGTAATTCAAGTAAAATGGTGACTGTTGGGTCGTGGCGGAAGGTGAATTGTTGTACGCGAACTCGATGAGTGGAAGCTGCTGTTCCTAGGTGGTTGGGTCGTCGCACGTGGCTCGGATGAGTTGCTCCATGGTCTGGTTTGTTGTTTCTGTCTGTCCGTCGGTTTTGGGGTGGTACGA